TGCTGTTGCCGGTGCTGGTGTTGCTGCAGGTGATGATGGTGACTGTGATGATTCTGATTCTGATGATGATGATGATGATGATGATGATGATGAGGATAATGATAATGATAATGATAATGATAATGACGATGATGGTGGTGGTGATGATGATGATGATGGTGATGATGGTGACGGCTAGGATTGTGATCAAGATGACAAGGGTAGGAACAGCAAGGGTGATGATGGCGACGATGAACATGATGGTGATGATGGTGGTGCTGATGATGATGGTGATGACGCTGAAAATGCTGAGGATACTGAGGATGTTGAGGATACTAGGAGGAGGAGGACATAAAGATGAAGATGTAAGCTGTGATGATGTAAAGAAGCTTAGGATGATGATGACAGGACGGCAGTCACTGCCACCATCCACTACTGCTCCCATGATGCGGATGGCTTGCGATTGTCGTCTGGGCTCGCTGCTCTTCCGAATAGTAGTCCGAAGCTACTGATACACAGATGTAGTAGCTATCATTTGCATCAGTGCGGGTGTTCCTGCCATCCCGGTGAAAAGGTAAGGTGCCATGTTGTCTGCAATAATGCGTATCCCAGAATCATCCACTTACGTCCTTGCCGTCGCGACTCCGTTCCCGGTATGGCGACTTTTTCTTGTCGAATTACTCCCGCGCGCAGCTCTGGCTGAAACAACATGGATCGAACAAAAGACTGAACTTCGAGCAGTTGCTAGGACTGCTATAGTGACTGCTGCTGCTGCTGTCTCAAAAGCTTAACCTGCAAGCGCACCATTTTGTGCACATTCGGCTCTCATCCACAGAAAAACTCGCTCTCGTACATGAAGGATACAGCAACAACAGAACATCTCCGTAGCACTAATCGGATAGCAGTTGGTGATGGTAAAGAGATCGTCGTCGTCTTTACTGTCTTCACTTCTTCATAACCTTTCCAACTGCAGCTACGGCAACCAATGGCAACTCACAACAGAAACGGTCGATGCGAGCTGTCCGCTCAGGCATGCTGGTATCCTGGTGCGCTGTCACGCTTTGAACCCTGGCCTCAAAACTTGCAAGGGAGCAATACAAATCCTACTTTTATATTTCGTCAAAGTTTCAGGGCTTTTCAGTCTTGTTATAGCTTTCAGGATCCAGAAGCATGGCTTTGCTTCGTCCATGCAACTGGATGTGTCTGTGTACGTGTACGGGTGCCCGCCCGGCCTGGTATGCGCGTGTTAACACATGCGGGCTGCATGCCTAAACTACGGTGGAAAGCTGGGTCTTACCTTCTCTCACTTCAACTACAACTTCACAGCCACACCACCTAACAACCTTTGCCGTGGAGGGTTTTTTGCTTTCAGATGGCAGCCTGGTTTGAGCACGATTATGCAGTATGCGTGTCAATGGAAACAACACCTAATTATGCTAATCAGGATATGCACACATGCAATGAGCAGGACCAAGGGTCGGGGCTAATGCAAGAGTTGTGGTTCTTCCAGCTGCTTGGCTTTCGCATTGGTCCCTGGTCCCATGCTGGCTGTGACAGAGATCTTGGGAGCTCTTTGCGGGCTCTGCCGGCCTGCTAAGCATTTCTTGCAGCGAGGGGAGTGTGCGGGAAGGCGCGCGGCTTTTGTTCCATCGCGATCTGCATCGGATCGCTGCATTCCGGCGAAGCTGCAGGGGCTCCGCACTCCTAGCATTATCAACTGGCCCTGGCCCATACACCCTCGGGCCTAGGGTCATCGGATCTTTGGCAGAGATGGTACCTAGTTCCCCGAAGCAATGTAGTCCACTGGTAGCAGGCCTTGTTGTGGCATCTTACTGTCTGTCGACAGGACCAGCAAAATGGAAGCACGAATTATCTTGCTTGGCAAGTTCCTGAAGTCTACAGCGAGTTTCACTGACAGTTCCTATCACTACCTGCTCATGTCACCAGGCAGAAATCGCAAGCCAGCCACAAAAAATCCCACGACACCATGCCGAGTCCATTACCTTCCTTTTAACCTCAGACCGAGGCTGTGGAGATTGGGCCATCGCTTCAACTTTCCTGACTTGACCGGACTAAACCCTAAACTCCCCTAAATCCTCGAAACCCATGAGGCCCTCCGAGTAGGAACCCCTGGCGTGGCTTGCAAGCACGGCCTGTGCGGGATCCTTCTCACGCCGCCCAGACCAAACGGCGAGGTGACGGCAGCTGCCAAAAGGAAAACTTAGCATGATGGCTTGCCGCACCCAGCATAAACAATTACAGGGAACTGGCACGTAAGCCACACCTAAAAAGGCACTCTAACAATCACCGAGTCTAACTCCCAATCGACAGGTCAATCGGGGAGAGAATTTCAGTATGGTTCAAGTTGCAGCTATGCTCCACAGTCAGGGCCCAAGCTCCTAGTGAAAGCAGATTGGAGGTCAAGTCAGTTCCGATCGCCACACAGACGGTTTTTCGCGGCCTCTGCTCTGGACCAAGGCAGGCTGCGATGATCACCGCGATATCCGTCGCGAGGTTCACCAAGTCGGCAATGACAGCGAGAGCTCCGGCTGCACAGTCCTCCTGTGCTATCCTGTAATCGCTACCGTTCTTCCAGTTGAGCTCCGAGCAAGAGTTCAACAGGGCCCAAATGTCAGTGCCCGTGTAAGGGAAGTCGTTGATCGTCTGTGCGATAATAAGCCCGCAGACGCCCTTCTCCTGAGCGCGAGTGTCATCAGGGCCCAAATCTGCGATGTCTTGCAGAAGCCGATCCTGCAACTTGACCCAGCTGTTCGGTGGTAGTCGTGAGGGCAGGTCTGATGTGTTTCGCCGAGACAAAACTGGGTGATGAGGCATCTGAGCCGCAGCAAGCTTCAATTCATTATAACGTCGGCTGACTCTTGCTTTAAAGGCGCCGATGCCAGGAATGAGAAGCCTTTCGTCGTCGTCCTCGTCCTCGTCATCTTCGCTGAAGTCACAATCAGCCCTGGCTGTCAGACCATCAGATGTCATCTGAAATATCGTTGCAAAAAAGACGCTGAATGTCACCACGCAGGCGTTGCTTTTAGAGATGTACGAGTTCGTCATGTTTCTAGCCAGGCACCACACGGGGATTTGCGCCGCATTGGCTATCACCCAGAAGAGGTTAAAGATAAGGCCGACAGCTTGTGCCGAGCAGCTCTTATCATCTGCTGTGTCGGGACACAAGCCTTTGATGGCAAAAGCATCGATGTTTAAGCCTGCCCAGCCGAGGTAGGTGGCCATATCGTAGGTCGCACCCACGCACTGCGACATTCTGTAGGACTGTTCCTCCATGGCGGTGGGTCTGTGGAAGTTGATTGCTCGACCCAGGTCTCTCAACCTTCGCTTCGCAGCTTCCGCGGAAACATTGTGGAGGGAGGCAATCTCGCCGATTTCTGGAGGCAACTCCGGCAGACCCTCGAGTTCAGCCAGTCTGCTCAAGGCAATCAAGGGATCTGAGCCCTCTGGCCCCAAGCCCAAACCATAGATCGGTGAGACGATCTCTCCGCTAGAGACACGGGAGCCGGGCGAAACAAATGCTGCCAGAATCAGGCAGGCACCTGCTAGCCCAGCAAGCCCTGCCCCTATCACCAAGCACCAGGAACGACTCTTCACAGCAGAACCCACAGATGAAATCCGCTCCATCTCTAGAAGATGATGCGAGTCTTCGGGATCCAGCATTCGGAGAGCACATGCATGGATATTTGATAAGCTACTGCTCAAAAAGGCAACATCATGACTAGGAACTATCTTCTGCAGTGCCTCGAGCAAGTGGCCATGATGCATCGAAGCGGAAACAAGTCTCAGTGCTGGCTTGGGTGAAAATACTTAAAGGATCATGGGACTTAGTACGTAGGGTTATAACTAAGGTAACTATACTTATGACCCCAATTTGGGGACGTATAACCTTACTTACTAAGTCCCATGATCCTCCAAACCCTAAGCCCTAAACCCTAAACCCTAAACCCTTACTTACTAAGTCCCATGATCCTCCAAGTACCTAGATAATTGAGCAGCAGCCCCCGCTGCGACATGATCAAAGCACAACCTCACCACTATTGGCTGTAAACTGTAAACCCTCGACAAAACCTTAGTTGCTGAGTTCATAAGCCCCAAAAAGTGTACACTTTCAGTTTTATAGTGGGTAATATCAACCCAAAAAGTGTAAAGTGTATCCACTCAGCTACTAAGAAACCGTATACGCGCCCAACTGAACCCTTGTATGGAGAACTCTGCGCTACACTACAAAACCCTCGTAAGCCCCAAACCCCCGACTTTTGACACGTGAAGTCCGGGCTGCCGCATGCAACAACGGTCCCGGCATTACGTTCCTGTACTCATAAAGGTGTGAAGACCATGATGTGGCTTTACTTGGCAAGGACTCATGTGCAATAGTAGGAGGTGTTCACTAGTAATGCAATGCTCATGCTTCGACCCATTCGCACGCTCCGAATACGAATCTGGAAAACGTCCTTCATCACCAGCACCAAGCCACGTCCGCAGCTCGCTTCCTGCAAAAGTCCACGTCTTGTGATGGAAAACAGTAACCAAACGAGCTTGCAAGGCCTTTCAATTTAAATCTGGATCCAAAACTCGAAACACATCACGTGAAAAGACCCCGCAGCCTAAATGCGACCGCATCACTTCGACGCGAAACCCCTTTGCTACTAGTACCCCTTAATCTCAATCGGGCCGCATCAACTCTGCCCTCAGGAGTTCCTGGTCCCCATCTCTGTGAGACTGGCTCGAACCAAAATAGCAGCCTGAGGATAGCCTGTTTGGAGACATGCACTGGGCATTCGCTGTTTGGGGGACTAGTAGGAACCAGACCCACAGGCCGAATCACAGTTCCTCTGCCTCCTTGCGCACATCAGAAAAAAAAAACACGCAGGAGGGCTTTGGGAACTTCGGGAGCTCGGGCTGCACACAGCAATGCCACTTTTCTTCTGCGACGAAGCCATTCTCCCATGAAGGTGAGACGCAGGGGGCGAGTTTTAGAAGCCAGATCAAGAGGCTCCTTCTCACGCCTGCTTAATGTACAGGGAGGGTACGAACGCGATGTCCCGGTGAATCAAGTCAGCTGCTTCCGAGAAAACCTCCGGGGCAAGAGCGAAGGAAGTTCGATGGATTCCCCGATCCGTGGCGCGGTTTAGGGTTTAGGGTTCCCGTTGCTGCGCTTCTTGTGGGCACGAGGCGCCGGCATTCTGCAGGACGCTGTTGCCCAGCATCTTGGCCACCTCCTGACCACTCGACAGCTTGGGATTCGGTGCCACACAGGGCCAAAGCCACAAATCCATCTACAGCAAACCCTAAACCCTAAACCCTAAACCCCTAAACCCTAAACCCTAAACCCTAGACCCTAAACCCTAAACCCTAAACCCTAAACCGGAATATAGCGGCCTAGATACTTGAAATCGCACACTGTAGA